TTTTTTTCAAAAAAGTAATTTTTTGTTTCTCAAAAATTTAATTTTTTGAAGTAAATTTCTTTCAAAAATATTAATCGTTTTAAAAAAATAATAATTTTTGGTACGGAAGTTGAAAATTTTTACATTTCGTCACGTTTTGAAGATTTCTGAACATTTTGGCATACCTCAGAAAAATGAATGTATGTTGTCCACGTTTTCGGATCAACCGATTTCAATGGTTCAAAAAACATTTGATTCCTATAGGGAAATGTGCTGATTAGTTTTTGGCAAAGGCAGGTGCAGCCGTAACGGAGGTACAGAGCAAAGAGTGCAGAAAATAGAAATCGAGTTTTTGAGATAACTGAGTATCCAATTTAAATGATCTCAAAAACATTCAATTTGCAATCATTGGGATGAGAGGTGATTAGTTTTTGGCAAAAACAGGTCTAGCCATTTCGAAGATACAGAGCTAAATGTGCAAAATATAGTAGTTTTTGAGAGAACTAAGCGTTCGATTTGAATGATTCAAAGAACTTTCTGCTTGTTTTAACAAAATAATTGCTTTTGGAAAAAAAAATTGTTTCATTTTTTTTTTTAATTTTTTTTTTTCAAAAAAATTTTTCTTGTATATCGAAAATAATTCAGATTGTAATTTTGACTTAAGTTCTAATATACTTTAAACAAATATTTTCAACTTTGCAATTCAGTTCATATAATTTTTATAAATATTTAGACAATGTTACCATAGATAAAAGAAGAATATAATGTTACAATATTTATTTATAATAATCTAATTGAAAACATTTAATATTCCCTGAACATTTCGTTACGGTACGAGAAGTTCCAGCATTTTGCCTTAAGGCACGATGCCATACACCACTAGTTTACTTTTCATGTAAACTTATATAAACATGTTCATAGATAAATAAGCATCAAGCTCTTATATTTCGTCTACAAAATACGAATAAAGAAAGTTACAGCATGTATAATAATCTATTTGAGAACATTTAATATACCTCAAATATTTTTTTATTACGGTACAGGAAGTTCCAGAATTTGCGTAATAAAGTAAGTTACAGCATTTTTAATAATCTATTTGAGAACATTTAATATTCCTCAAATATTTTCTTATTACGGTACAGGAAGTTCCAGCATTTTGCGTTAAGGGACAATGCCATACACCACTAGTTTACTTTTCATGTAAACTTATATAAACGTCATCATAGATAAATAAGCCTCAAGCTCTTATATTTCGTCTACTAAATACGTATAAAGAAAGTTACAGCATTTATAATAATCTATTTTTGAACATTTAATATTCCTCAAATGTCTCAAGTTCCAGAATTTGCGTTAAGGCACGATGCTTTGCACCACTAATTAACTTAACGAAGGAGAAGTTTATGTTTTCATCCGCTAATGTAATTGTATATTTTCTCGACGGTTCAAGCCATTCTGAATCGAATGAGACCAAATTTTGGAAAAAGCATGTGTGTGTGTATGTGTATGTGAACAGATTTTTTGCCGTAAATCGACGATTTCTCAGAAACGGCTAGACCGATTTCAAAATTTTAAAAGCCATTCGATGTATCTCGACGAGGACTAGCGTTTCTGAGTTTTGTGCGACGATTGGCCGAGCCGTTTCTTTGTAAATTGCAGAAAAGTGAAAATTTTTTTGTCTACGTTTAAGCCCGCAATTCTGAATCGATTTTGAAAATTCAAAAACCGTTCGAAAGATATTGGTTGGGTATCGTGCTAATTAGTTTTTGGAGAAGATCGGCCGGGCCGTTTTCTTGTAATAAAATGTTAGAAAAAATTTTTTCGACAATTTTTATTATTATTTTTTTTGACGGTAGATACCATAGTCTTCTAGATCATACTAAAATATTACGACCTTACGACAACTCCTTTAGCTTTAAAAATTCGACAAAGTTTGCAAAAATTAGTATCGTTTTTTTGGCATTTCATCGACGATTGCTCAAAAACGCCTGAACCGATTTCAGAAATTTAAAAACCCTTTGATGTGTCTCAATGAGGATTATCGCTTGTCACTTTTGTGCGACGATTGGCCGAACCGTTTCTTTGAAATTTGGAAAAAATGTTAAACTTTTCGTTCACATTTAAGCTCATTCTACCGAATCGATTTTAAAAAATCAAAAACTGTTCGAAAGATATTAGTTGGGAATGGTACTGATTAGTTTTAGGTGAAAATCTACCGAGCCGTTATCTTGTAATTAGCTGTTGAAAAAAAATTAAGACGATGTTTATGGAATTTCTTTGGCGATATATACCATGGTCTTATAGAACTTACTGAATTATTACGGCCTTACGACAAGTAGTTTAATTTTAAAAATTCATCAAAGTTTGAGAAAATGAGTAGTTTTTTTGACGTTTGTTAAAATTAAAATTAGATGATTCACTTGGTATAACGATAGAGTACTTTCTTAATAAACGTAAAATCAAGTCCTACGGAAACTGGTTCAATTAAAAAATTATTGATTTTTCAACATTTGCTTTTAGAAAATACTCCGATTAACGTGTTCATTCGTTTTCAATGTGTGTAATAAATCCACTTGGAATACTTTTACTCATGAATTAATTTATTTTTTATTGATTAAGTCGATTATTTACACATATCGCAAAGTTCATGTAACTTGCCTCAAGGCTAAATACCAAATCAACCAGTTTAAATTTTGCCGCCCAAAAAAAACACAGTTGAAATGTTTGCAATGTTGTCCAACCTGATGTCATGAAAATGCGAGGTTAAAGTTAAACAGAAATGTCAAAGTGTTTTATGAAATTATATTTTTTGTGCGAAAATAAAATAACAGCAAAGTGTTAGCGTTAGTATTATATTGTAATTAAAAAAATAAATTGATAAATATTCACTAGTTCAAAACATAAATTAAAAGGCATCACTTTTAAATTTAAAACAACCTTTTAAGAAGCCATTGCTAGTTCGTTAACAAGAACCAACAACGCTTGAAGGATGTCTGAAGAAATTCAATAAATGTAGATGTGAAGGAAAACGAAGAAATATATCTACATCGATTTTCAAACTCTGGGGTAACAATTGAAAATGAAATAAAACAAGAAAAAATTGTCGAGCAAACTAATACAGATGAACCTAATTTAGACATTAAGTCTTCCATTGAAGAAATATGTATAACAAGTAGTTCTTAGGATACAAACCAATTATTCGAGGAAGTTTGAGGTAAACGTCAAACCAGGAATAACTTATATAAAACACTCACCACAAAACAATATAAAATGACCCCCACCGGAGAACGCCATTTTGAGTGCAAAATATGCAATAAAAGATTTTCACGGAAAAGTAATTTAGATAAGCACATACTACTGCACTCTGGAACTTCTAATACATGTTATATTTGCAAAAAACAATTCACACAAAAACATCTTTTACAAAAACATTTATTAACCCACAAAGAAAATTACCCTTACAAATGTGAGGTATGCAATAAAACATTCTCAACAAAACAATCATTACAGATACATGATTCGATTCACACTGGAGAAAAACCTTATAACTGTGAAATATGCAAGAAAACATTCAGAACAAAAGTAGTATTAAAACAACACCAAGTTGCCCACACGGGAGAAAAGAAATATAAATGTGTAATGTGTAATAAAGCCTTTGCAACCAAACAAAAGTTAAACCAACATGAAATGGTTCACACCGGTGAACGACCTTTTGGTTGTGATTTATGCAATAGTGCATTCACAACAAAACAATCATTAAACAAACATTTATTGATTCACACTGGAGAACGCCCTTACAAATGTCAAATATGCAATAGAACATTCAGAACAAAGGAAATATTAAACATTCATTTAATGATTCATACTGGAGTACGTCCTCATGAGTGTCAAATATGCAATAAAACATTCAAAACAAAGCAAGATTAAACTATCATTTACTAATTCATACTGGAGAACGACTTTATGAATGTGAAATGTGCAAGAAAACATTCAAAACAAAGTATCTATTAAGAAAACATGATTATGTCCATAGAAAGGAAAGCAATCATGAATGTGCAATATGCAATAAAACATTCTCAACAAAACAAAACTTAATTGAACATGGAGAGATGCATGCTGGTGAACGACCCTACGAATGTGAAATATGCAAGAATACATTCAGAACAAAAGAAATATTGAGACAACACCAAGTTGTTCACACAGGAGAAAGTGATAAGGTATTCGCAATCAAACAAGAATTAAACCAACATGAAATGATTCACACTGGTGAACACCCTTACGAATGTATAATTTGCAACAAAACATTCATAACAAAGCAAACATTAAACAATCATTTAATGATTCACACGGGAGAACGGCCCCATGAGTGTGAAATATGCCATAAAACATTCAAAACAAAAAGGGAATTGAAACAACATGCAAACGTTCATACGAAAGAAAGCTATCAGAAATGTCTGATATGCAATAAAACATTCTCAACAAAACAGAAATTAATTGAACATGGAGAGATGCATGCTGGACCTTACGAATGTGAAATATGCAAGAATACATTAAGAACAAAAGAAATATTGAGACAACACCAAATTGTTCACACAGGAGAAAGTGATAAGGTAATCGCAATCAAACAAGAATTAAACCAACATGAAATGATTCACACTGGTGAACGCCCTTACGAATGTATAATTTGCAACAAAACATTCATAACAAAGCAAACATTAAACAATCATTTAATGATTCACACGGGAGAACGACCCCATGAGTGTGAAATATGCAATAAAACATTCAAAACAAAAAGGGAATTGAAACAACATGCAAACGTTCATACGAAAGAAAGCTATCAGAAATGTCTGATATGCAATAAAATATATTCATCAAAACAAAAATTAAACCATCATCTAATGATTCACACTGGTGAACGACCTTTTGGTTGTGATTTATGCAATAGTGCATTCACAACAAAAGAATCATTAAAGCGACACGTAATGATTCACACTGGAGAACGCCTTCACAAATGTGAAATATGTAATAAAACATTCAGAACAAAGGATACATTAAAAATTCATTTAAGCATTCATACATGAGTAAGTCCTCTTGAGTGTGAAATATGCAATAAAACATTCACAACAACAACAAATTTAAAGTATCATTTACTGATTCATACTGGAGAACGGCCTTATGAATGTGAAATGTGCTATAGAACATTCAAAACAATGCAACTGTTAAGAGGACATCAAACCAAAATCAAAAGATGCATAGTAAATGAATACCATTAGGAGTAGATGATATGAAATAAAAGGTTTTTACAAGTAAGTATTATTAGCGTATACCCAGAACACTTCTTACAACTGTTTGCAATCAAATATTCCCAGCATAACTTTAAATTTTTAATTTATTTTAAATTAAACAGACATGTGAAGAACTACACCGCAGATCGAGACTTGGACAAGATTAATTATAATGTAACAGTGATTAATTATAATGGACAAGATTAAGTATAATGGACAAGATTAATTACAATGGACAAGATTAATTATAATGGACAGGATTAATTATAATGGTCAAGATTAATTACAATGGTCAAGATTAATTATAATGGACAAGATTAATTATAAATGACCAGATTTATTACAATGGTCAAGATTAATTATAATGGACAGGATTAATTATAATGGTCAAGATTAATTACAATGGTCAAGATTAATTATAATGGACAAGATTAATTATAAATGACAAGATTTATTACAATGGACAAGATTAATTATAACAGTGAGTAAAATTATTAAAATTACAAGATATAACAGTGAGTAAAATTCGACAAGATTAATTATAATGGACAATATTAATTATAATGGACATGATTAATTATAATGGTCAAGATTAATTACAATGGACAAGATTAATCATAATGTAACAGTGAGTAAAATTGGGCAAGATTAATTATAATGGACAAGATTAATTATAATGGTCAAGATTAATTACAATGAACAAGATTATTTATAATGGTCAAGATTAATCATAATATAACAGTGAGTAAAATTGGACAAGATTAATTATAATGGACAAGACTAATTATAATGAACAAGATTAATTATAATGGACAAGATTAATTATAATGGACATGATTAATTATAATGGTCAAGATTAAATACAATGGTCGAAATTAATTACAATGGACAAGATTAATTACAATGGACAAGATTAATTATAATGGACAAGATTAATTATAATGGACAAGATTAATTATAATGGTCAAGATTAATTACAATGAACAAGATTATCTATAATGGTCAAGATTAATCATAATATAACAGTGAGTAAAATTGGACAAGATTAATTATAATGGACAAGACTAATTATATTGGACAAGATTAATTACAATGGACAAGATTAATCATAATGGACAAGATTAATCGTAATGGACAAGATTAATCATAATGTAACAGTGAGTAAAATTGGACAAGACTAATTATAATGGACAAGATTATTTATAATGGTCAAGATTAATTATAATGGACAAGATTAATTACAATGGACAAGATTAATTGTAATGGACAAGATTAATTATAATGTAACAGTGAGTAAAATTGGACAAGATTAATTATAATGGACAGGATTAATTATAATGGACAGGATTAATTAAAATGTACATGATTAATTATAATGGACAAGGTTAATTATAATGGACAAGATTAATTATAATGGACAAGATCAATTATAATTTAAGAGTGAGTAAAAATTTTAATTAACCGTGATATCTTCTAATCCTTTTAATAATATATATTGTCAATATATTATTAAAATTAATAATTATTATTATTAAATAATATTAATTGTGATTTATGAATACTTACTAAGTTAATTGTATGTAAATGAATAAAAATGTAAATATAAATCTAACTTTATATAATATAGCAATTGTTCTGTGTTTACCACAGTCAAAGAATATACATATGCGTTTTTCAAGTTTTTCAAGACTTAAATAAAACTAGTTGAAAGTGGCATTGTGACTTAAGGCAAATTTCTGGAACTTCTTGTACTGTATTGATATATTCCAGGAATATTAAATGTTTTCAGATTCGTATTTTATAGACAAAATTTAAGAGCTCATGAATTGGTCAATGGGGTTTATACACGTTTACATGAAAAGTAAATAAACAAAAGTTTATTAAGTGGAATTAGAATGAAGGATCTTATCTCATATTTCTAAGAATTATATAAATTGAATTGAAAAGTTTAAATGATTTATTTGTGTATATAAGTGAGTTTTAGAACTTTAGCTATAATTAAAATTAAAACCTAATCTGAAACTAAATTTTAAATTTTGGGACGAAAAAATATTTGCTTTTATAATCTAATAGTTTCTTCACAAGCAAATTGTTTTTTGAGTCATTCGAATTGGAAGCTTTGCTCTCTTAATAACTATCATTTTTTACACTTATCTCTGGAACGACTGGGCTCCTTATCTCTGGAACGACTGGGCCTGTCTTTGCCAAAAACTAATCACAACGTCTTCTCATCATTACAAATTGAATTTTTTTGAATCATTCAAATCGGTTTCTCTGTTCCCTCAAAAACTCAATTTCATTTTCTGCACTCTTTGCGGTGTATCTCCGAAACACCTGGACTTGTCTTTCTCAAAAACTAATCAGCACGTTTTCTTGTACGAAACGAGTATTCATCATCACACACATACATCAATTTTTTCTAAGGTATGTCAAAATATTCAGAAACCTTTGAAACGTGAAGATATATAAAAAAACGATTTCTTTGGGATTACTACGTTCATTTCATCACGTCTAGCAATAAAAACACGTTTATGTAGTAAAATAATTACATATTTTTCAAAATATTTAAATTACAAAAAACCAATCATTAATATTTCAATTAATTATATAATAATAAAAGTTACACGTCTATAGTAATACTAAAAATTTAAAACTAACTTCTTTTAATATTTTCAACTATTAAATACATAACCCTGTTCTTGGATAAGCTATTTCTTTTATCTTAATATTTGTTAAATGAAGAGTATTATAAAATTTAATAAAAAAACGTTTCTATAAGATTGTTAAAACTTTACAAATCTACTTACAAACAAATTTTATTTGAAATTAAAAACATAAGCTCTACTGCGACATTTTATAGATTTTTTTTTATTACGTTGTCAAAAAGTTTTTAACTATGTACTAATGTTATTTATATATCACATATATCACAAAAAGGTTCTTGCTATTACTACCATTTGAATTTTATCTTCCACTTGAATTTAACTTTTTTATCCTTATGATAAAGATACAGTTCACCCAAAAACACCAAAAAAGCTACACCACAGCACCCCATCCAGCACCAAAACAGAAAACCTAACTCTCTCATGGAATAGACACCAGCCAGGTTGTCTTTTTCGAAATTTCTCTCCAATCTAGTCTTGACCCTATAAAATACATCATCCTTCCACTTTGGCATCAGCCCGCTCTCCCTAATCTTCATCAGAATCTCGTTAAACCTCGGAGTATACGGCGAAGTTAGTGGTACCAGATGAGAGTTGTATCTCGATGGTATTCCTTCTTGTAAAACATGGAGTTTGTTGCCAAGTCCTGATTTGATTTTTTGGATTTGACCAAACAGCAAGGTGCACAAGAAGGCAGAATCTCTTTTGATGGCAACTCTTTTGATGGCTTCGTCTCGGTCTTCCACCACTAGTTGTTTGGAGTACAAAGTTTTGTAATGAGGAGGAGCGTTTTCTGTCAACGCTATGTTTCTTATCAAATCCTTCATAGACTTAACCGTTAGAATTTTGAGATCACTTTGCGCTAATTCTTCGACAGAATCCAAATCCATGGACACTGTGCCAGTTGTCAAGTGTTCTACCATTGTAGCGCAATAAATGAAACCGTTGATCAAGGAAAAAAAGGCCCAGAATATATACAAGCATCTTTGGAAGTTCAAATGTAGTTTAGGTTGTGACACAAGCATGCTGCTGCCAAAAAACAACATCAATACACCACCTGCATCCTTCTCAACAATTCTCACCAAGTGTTTCTTCACTTTCTGTAACCACAGCCATGTAACTTCCATAGACAAGTATGATAAACACAACAAGGCGTAAACTTCTGGACTAAAAATTCCAAAAAACGTTACAGCGTAAGCTGGTGCCATTTTGGGTGTCAGGAATGCAAATTGAGCTTCATCTATAGGCGTCAGGAACTCCGATTCTGTTTGTCCGTAATCCAAAATAATGCGCATGTTGGCTAAAATATCAGCATTACCATTCTCAACTTCTGCAAGGGAACCTGTAAATGATCCATTGTCTAAAAGGGATCCAAAAAAAGATCCGTGCTCTGGAGGGTAATAAATTGGTGTAAAGTTCATTTTTTGGACTAATGTGTGGATGATATCGCCGTCCATTCTCATGTATCTGGTAGGTGTACCATTTTTGGTTTCTTGGACCAAGGCTGTGCCATTGTACTCGAAGATACAAATTTTTAGTGGATATTTGCGTACATCCATCAATCTAACATGCACCAGATCCATTATCGTTTGTATGAGATTACCTTTGTGCAACATAGGGAATCTGTACACAAACCCCCTTTTCTCCTGCACCAACTTGAAAGGATCCATCAAATCAATCTCAAATTTATAATCATCTTCACTGAACTCCACTAAAATTTCACTGGAATTTAGGTTCAATTTCTTGACAGCATGGACAACTATCACGTTCAGCATATTGTACTGGCTCCATGACGTCTCCAAATATTTTTGGACGTCCAAGTAACTAGCATGTGTTAAAATGACGATCATTTTTGTCGTCTGATCCATGGAGGCTATCAATTGTAACCTACTCTCTGCAAATTTCATGGACGAAGTGCAATAAATTATTCCAGCCAACTGGCGCGGTTTGAAAATATTGCGTGGACGAGGTGGCACTGTTTCGTTCCTGAAAAAATAATAAATGTATAAGAATTAAAGGTGGTATTTTTAAGGTTGGCAACGAATGTCAATAGCGCCTCTGTAAAAATAGAAATATACTAGGTGTAAGTGGCATTTTCTTTTAAGGCAAGTTGAACTTTACGATACGAATAAATGTTAATACTTTATATTGAACAATGTTGTAAGCGACATAACACCACAATTGACTTTTTTTGCTATCTTATCTTAAAGCAAGAAAACAAAGTAAGCTTGTTTTAAATAAGATCACAAAATGCTTAGTACTCACAATCCTTTCAAAAGCAATTTAACAGGTAGAGTATTATGCTTTCCATTGCATTTGAAAATTTCCATTCCAAAACTTAATGAGCTGTCGTTCGTTATCAGCATGACCACGTGGTCTTTTTCCTAAAAAATATACAAAATGAATAGTACCAATACACGCACACTATATATATATATATATATATATATATATATATATATATGTATGTATATATATATTAGGGTGGTCCTTAATATGGATATTTCCTAATTTCTTTGCTTCCAGGGGCTAAAATGCTTCTAAATTGTTATAAAAATATCTGCATTATTAATTCTAAACATTAA